TTAGTACTAGAGGTTTTGGAATCCCTCTTCTTATGCATGTGACTGCATTCGGACGTAAAATGTCCATTCTTTCCATACAAGGGAGATGCATAAGTTTTTGTCTTGGCTTCGAACTCAGATTCAACAAATCCTAATCTTGCTCTATCTTTCCCACTCCTGGAATGCTTTAAAAGATGCTCAAGATTCTTAGTTCCAAGTGTGAATTTTGACAGATCAGATTTTAATAAATCGTTGTCTTTGGTTAATTTGATTACTTCTTCTGAAGTTGAAAGAAGTTTTGTATTTTCGTTTTTCAGTAGGTGGTTTTCTTTAAGTAATTCCAAAATTCTTTTCTTTTGTTCTTTATATGTTGTAGAAATTTTTGCTGAATCTGATAGAAGTTGATTGTATGCATACTCAAGAATTTTTAGGTCAGATTTAGTTACCTCCCCATTGTCTAATTCTGATGATGAGTCTACGTCTGCCATGAGGCAGATGTTTGCTTCTTCGTCTTCTTCTGACGATGTTGTGTTAAGATCCTCCCAGGTGGCCATCATGGCTTTTTCTTTTTGAAGGGACTAACTTTTTCTTCTATTTTTTCCTTTTCTTTTTCCAGTTCCAGAAATTCCGTTTTGTAATGTCCAGGTGATAGACTATGGCCAAGGCCAAGGAATCCAAGAGGTGATATACTAAAAGAACCAAGAGGAATGGGATGATCTTAAAGACCTTTTTCTTATGTTTGTACATATAGTAGCTCTTTTGTATAGGTTATTTTTGCCTTTGTATTTGTGAGGCACTTTACTTGCTTTTTCTAGTGTTTGTATATTGATTTTAAGGTAGGCTACTTGGAGAGTTTAACTCCATTTAACCTCCCTAGTTGATACATTCATTTTGTATTTTTTCAGTAGGGAAAAAGGGGTGGCATTTAGCAATGCTTGAGGGTGTGACTAGTAATTGGGCCAGAACTGGGCCTAGGCAAAATTTTGCATATTGGACTCATTTTGCTCCTAATTTTTCATAGATTTGATTTAGCTAGGTCTCATCATCATATGATGAACCTAACTAAACCAAATCAAATATTTTTGAAATAAATCTTGGAGCAATTTGGAGCCAAGGCCGCCTAGCATTCTCTCTTGTTCATGGCCGAAAATTACTAGTTTTCCTTCTAGTTTTTGAAGCTTGTCCTCCAAGTTTCTAAACCATTGTAAGTTAGGCTGACCTTACCATGGTTCTTAAGTGAACCATGGTCAAGGATAGCTTCTCCTACAAGTTTTAGAAACCATGGATGGTTAGCTACACCTTACCATGGTTCCTAGTGAACCATGGTTAAGGTTAGCTTCTCCTAGAAGCTACCTCCCCTATATATTTGTAAAACCCTCTCTTGTAATCACTTTTGGACATTAATGAGACTTAGAATTCAGAAATTCTCTCTCATTTTCAAGAGTCAAATTCGTGAGAAAAACTTCTCCTAGTTTTCTCTCAAAGTTCCTTCTCCTAGAAGCTTGGTTCCTCAAGCTTCTCCACTTCTTCAAGAGGTAACCGAACCTCTCTTAGGTGCTTCTCCACCATTGGAGAATCCTCCAAGGTGCTTCTGCAACTTCAAAGGAGTTCTATCTCAAGAGTATTCAAGGTCCTTGCATGGAAAACTTGGAAGAATATCAATCCTCTCCAAGTACTTCCATCAGTTTTGGTATCTAGAGCCTAGTGCTCTTGAGGTTTGGTGTTCTATTTTTTTTTTGTATGAATCCGTGTTGTCTCTTCCTTCTCCTATGTCTAAATATTTGTTTGCTGCATGGATCTAAATTTTCTAAAAAATTTTTGATAGATCCTATATGTCACATGAGAAGTAAATTGATTCATTGTTGCTTGTTCCTATTCTTGTGAATCAATTTCGGTTTTGTGCTTTTAAGTACTCTAAACTTGTGTGTTTTTAATTTTTGCTTGAGTCTCTCCATTCTATAACATGTGTCCATGATTGGACAACATTCATATTGCATAGTTTTATTTTTGAATCAATTGTTTTGTCATAGAAGTCATGTGTAGTCCTTTTCATGTTGAAAATTCCTAGACTAGCTTGTTCACCTAATTTTTTGTGTGTTGTTTGTGTCCGAAATTTTTGTGTATTTTCTTATTGAATCTGAACCTTACTATATGTGCTTTTGCTTTACATGTTTGAGTTCTTAATTTGCTATTAGTTCTAGCAAATTTCTTAGAGTTAGGTTTCTATTATGTCTTGTTATAAGTTTTGTCAAAAAAATTGTTAAACACTAATTCCTACTAGGTTTCCTTGAGTCTTGTGTTGTGGCTGAAACTTTGTGCAATTTTTTTAGCCTTAAAACAGAGCCAAAACAGAGGTGTGAGTGTCTTAAATTCATGAGAAAAACAAAAGAATGAGTGCTTAAAAATTTGACATAAAAATAATACAAAATAGTAAAGCACTAGTTGTAAAATGGATGAAAACACCTCTTGTTTTGTGTGAAATTTTTGCTGCAGTATTTTTACATTAAATCCGAGACTTCTAAGTGTTTAAAAGGCTTTGAAACTCCTGAACATCAAAAGAAAAATAAGAGAAAAATATTTTGCAAAAGAAAAAGAAAGAAAATAGCAAAAGAAAAAGCCAAAAGGAGTGAAAATTTTGCTAAGTTTTGCTCTTGGTTTTTGGTGTATTCTTGCCTATAATATTTTCAGTCCAGCCACATCTTTGTGTCTTGTTTGGTTTATAATCTTAGATTTTGATTTTTGTAATCCAATTCTAGTACCATTCATAGGTTATTCTTGTGAGTGCTAGCTTTCAAAATTAACCTTAATTGTTGCTTGTCATTTGTGAAAATCTTTCTAGTCTTGTCTCATTTTCTTCCACCAATTGGTGTAGCTGTTCCTAATTGTTCCTTTTCAGCTTTTGTACTAATATTCCAGCATCTTAAGGTGTGTTGAGTGCCTCTTGGAAGGTGTTGAAGGCCAAGCTCAAGGTTAGCCAATATTGAAGGACTTTGGTGGTGACCTAGGAGCTTGTTTCTCATTGGATTGGATTCTTGGAAATTCAAACACCTAGGAGTAACCAACATCAAGGTTGCTTCTAAAGAGGAGTGAAACACATTGTGAGGCTGCAAGCTAGGTGGCTGAATTGGAAGAAGAAGGAGCAAAATTTTTTGTGAAAAAATTTGTGAAGAATTTAGTAACAAATTTAGTAACGGGAATTTTTCTTCAAAAATTTCAATACCAAATCCGTCACTAAAGTTGTCACTAAATTAGTGGCTGATTTTTGTTTTACAATTCTTGGTGCAGCCACTCAATTTTTGTTTAAGTGAATTTACATTTCATTTGGTGTAAATTTGCATTTCAATTTGAATGTGAATTTGCATTTCATTTGGTGTAAATTTACATTTCATTTTTGTAATCTTTTAATTTCCAAATTTTGTACAAGGCCTTTATTAAGGAGTGTCTTGGAGTGCCTTTGGTGTTTTTCCATCTCTCCTTAAGTGTTCCCATAGTAATTTCGTTTAGTACTTGTGGGAGGGTCCTTGAAGGTCTTTGGTGCCTTTCAGGCTCTCACCTAGGTTTAATTGCTTTCAACGCCTAGTTTATGTTTTGTTGTCTTTAAGTTTTCATGCAATTTAAGTTTTCAAGCAATTTATGTTTTCTTGTCATTTATGTTTTCAAGCAAAATATAATTGTACACTCTAGGCACTTGTTTGTTATTTTTCTTTGAAAAAGATCTTTGTGAAATTGCTTTGTGCAAGGCAAACGTACAAGGGGGTTTAGAGATTTTTACTTGAAGAGGCTTGGTTATTAAGTGGCTCTTTAGTAGCTCACCTCCCTCCAAAGTTCAATTTGTACTCTTAGACCTCCAAGTGCCAAGTCTAAGCACTTCAAAAAAATCTTATTTTCATAAAAACTATTTTTGTGTGGAAAAATCTTGTTGTTTAAAATGTCTCAACAATCCAACTATAGTGGAAGTGATAGCTCTCCTAAAAACATTTCTTACTTAACAAAAGAGCTAAAATCACTTAAACTATGGGAGAAGCAAGAGGCCTTTCAAAAAGAGAAGGAGAAAATTGAAAGAGAGGCCAAACTTGCTATCCTAGATGAGAAGTTGAGAATTCTTAAACAAGAAGAAGAAAAATTGAAAGAAGACAAAAGAAAACACAAAAGAAGAAGAAAAATGAAAATCAAAAGAAAAGAAGAAATAGAAAAAAATAAAGAACTTTGTACAGGGAAGAGTAAAGAGGAAGAAATATCCTCTAAGGGATTTGTCTGTGTCGTGAAGCTCCTCGCAACATGAACGAGCTCCGTGCCCGTGCTGCTGGGTACATCCAGATGGAAGAGCACTCTGCCTTTCGCGACCAGGTTCGCGAAAAATCACAAGCGAAGCCTGACAGTGGTCACAAAGACAAGATGAAGGTCACAAATGACAGCTAGTTTAAGAAGTCCGCCAGGGCAAGTAAGGGGGGAGATATGACTTCTACACTCCCCTGAATATGCCCCGAGTACACATCCTGGAGGAGGCCAGTAATAGTAACCTACTCAACCTGCCACCACCAGGTCACACTCCCAACAGTGCAAATAAATCCAAGCACTACTGATACCACAAAAACCACGGTCACACCACTGAAGAGTGCCGCACACTCCGAGACCGTATCGAAGAACTCATCCAGGCAGGCCACCTCGGCCAATACGTCCAACGACAGCAGAGCCACAGAGGAGGCTACGGTGGATGAGGATGAGGTAGAGGTCGTGGTTCAGGAGCTCGCATGGACCAACCCTCTGACTCTCAGCAAAATGCCGGTGGAACAGTGCAAGCCGAGGTAAGCCAAGAAACAGGGTCAGCTCTCCTACGGGGAGTAATCAACACAATTGCAGGTGGCTTTGCAGGAGGAGGCTCCAGTAGCTCAGCCTGGAAAAGACACTTGCGCAGTATCAACAACGTCCACTTCGCTACCTCGGCCTCGCACCAAAGCTCACCGCCAATCACCTTCACCAACGATGACTACGCTGGCGTCTCCCCCAACTAGGACGACCCAATGGTCATCGCCGTGGAGGTCGCCAACTGGGAGGTCCACAATACGTTGATCGACCAAGGAAGCTCGGCTGATGTCCTCTATTGGCCGACGTTCCTCAGGTTAGATATCCCTCACTCCCTTATCCAGCCTCACATAGAGCCACTAGTTGGATTTGCAGGAGAGCGAGTTCACACTCGAGGATACGTGGACCTGCTGAGGACCTTCGGAACCTCTCCGGATACAAGGAGGATTATGGTCCGATACCTCCTCGTGGAAGCCAATACCTCCTATAATATAATCATTGGAAAGCCGACGTTAAATCAACTCGGAGCAGTGGTGTCTACCCCACACCTCACCACGAAATTCCCAGGGAGTGAAGGCAAGACTATCTCCGTCAAGGCAAATCAGAAGACAGCCCGGCAGTGCTACGCCGAAAGCCTAAAAGTCTCCCCGCCCGACGAGCGTTGCCGAAGTGATCCCCCCACAGTGGCTCACATCACCCATGCGGATATCACTGACCTCGACCCGAGGTCCGACTCCCATGATGAACGACCAAGTCCCATCGACGAGCTCGATGACCTCCAGATCGGGAAGCTTCCTGGGCAGTGCACAAAACTTAGCAAGTAGTTGAGTCCGGAGTTGCGGCAACAGCTCGAAGCTGAGATCCTAAAAAATGCCAACCTCTTTGCATGGTCCAGTGCTGACATGTCAGGGATAGACGCTGACTTCATCTATCACAGGTTAGCAATTCACAAGGAGGCGAAGCCAGTGGCCCAGAAGAAGAGAAAAGTTGGCGGTGAGAGGCGGGAGGCCATCATCTCCGAGACACAAAAATATCACCAAAATAGTGGGGAACCCGAAGATCCTATTGACGGTTACTTCTGATGGGAATAGCAAGAAGAGAATCTGAGAAGAAACGAAGATTAATTGCAAATCAATGAACGAGCAAACATGTCTATAGGGATATCATTCAAGCATGAGCTTCTGTAGCCTAACAGGAAAGATATTTCATTTTCTATGTCACAGGTTCCCTCACTGCAGCTATCATCGAATGTATCATTAATCTTTAGCGCTTTTGAGGAGGATGGTGTTGATTTTGTCTTTTACACATATAACGCAATAGATTTCTATTTTCTCCCAGCATCATTTTTTTGTAACTCTAGCTCATGAACTTTAAGGAGTCCAATGAGTTCCTCCAGAGAGAGCTATTCTAGATTTTTGGATGCTCTCAGAGTAGTGACTTGTGGTCTCGAATTCCTAGGTAAACTACGAAGTAATTTGTCAATGTGGTCAAAGTTATCATAAGTTCTACCTATTGATGAAATTTCATTTACTATTTTTTTTAATCTTCCAAACATAGTTTGTATAGATTCGCTTTCTTCCATCTCAAAAAGTTCATACTTACGTAAGCTTGTTGGGTTTTACCTCTAGGGACCCCTCGTAGGTTAGAGCTAGGGTGTCCCACATTTGTTTGACACTTCTGAAGCTGTGAACTTTAGTGTATTCCTCTTCAGATAGAACACACTTGAGTGCATTGCGTGCTTTGGAGTTCAGCATGAATCTTTGCTTTTTCTCTTCAGTCCATTGTGCTCTAGGTTTCTCGTTGCCGGCTTGATCTAGAGGGATGTAGTTTCCTTGCTCAACGACGTCCCACATATATATATATAACATGCATCAAAGAATGCAATCATTCTTTGCTTCTAGTAGTCATATTTCTCTCATTTGAAGAGAGGTGGTCAGTTTACGGCTTGTCCTTTGTTTTCCATGATCGTTTCCCGTGCAGTGTTAGATGCTCAACCCAAGGGGTCAAGCTTTGATACCAATTGAGGTTAGCATAAATACACACAGAAGGGGGGTTGAATGTGTGTGTTAGGATTCAAAGGAAAAATTTAAAATTTATTTTTGCAAGCGTACTTTTGGTTGGAAAACTTAAGCAGAATTTTCGTCTAGTGATTTTTGTTGATTCAAACTAATTTTCAATGTAGAAAACTAAGTAGATTAGGTTTCTGTTTGAAAAATGTTATCGTCTAGTAAAGATAGTTTTTACAAGGTCAAGTAAGTTTTCGTCCAAAGCTTTGTTGAGAAACGAAATAGATCAATAGCAAAACATGTATTACTAAAATGTAGAGAGAATGCACAAACAGTTATACTGGTTCACTCAATCTGAGCTACGTCCAGTTTCCTTCCGAAAAAGGGTTCCAGTAATTACAAAGGATTACAAGTATTCATAGCCACTTCTGGCTTGTCAACTAGACGCTAGTATTTTTAACCACTTCTAGTTCACCAAGTACTTTCGACCACTCTTGGCCCGTTGGCTTCACTCACTAATGTAGACACCCAATTTCGTCCAAACAAACAAAAACAATGAAATGGACGTCTATCATCAAAGAAATCGAGCTCCCAACCATGGAAATAATAGAACATGACATCAGAAGGCCTAAAAGTCCAAACAAGCTAGTTTTAGTAGCCTGGAACAAGCTATTGCAAAACTGGAACGGGCGTTCCCAATTTGGAACGGATCGTTCCATGTTCCTAAAAGGGCCTAAAACCCTAGTTTGGAACGGGTCATTCCTATACTAAAAAAGGTCGTTCCAAGCTCCTAATCAATTGTGTGTTAATCTCATCCCTGGAACGGGCCGTTCTAGTTTCAGAATGGGTCGTTCAAGTTACAAAATTAACACAGAACGGTCAGATCCAGAACAGGTCGTTCCGATTTTGGAACGGGCCGTTCTGACAACTTTTTGATGTCTATAAATAGACAGCTCGAGCACAGTTCTCAAGGCCTCAAAATTTTGTCCATGACTCCTTAGAGCTCGAAATTTCTCTCCCTCTCCCTCCTATTGTATTTCTTAAGATTTGTGAAGTATTTGTGTAGTGTGAAAGGTTGCCGCAAAGCACTTAAAATCTCCATAATTGAAAATCTAATAAAGCTTGCTATGAGGTATTACTCATCAATCTCTTGTTCCATCTTTTTCTTCTTTTATTTCAAATATTGCATAATAAACACAATCATGTAGACATCTTTGGGTTCATCATGTAATTTAAATTTCATGTAAATAATCAATAAAAGGGGATTCAATATTTATATTATTATTTTTAATGTTAACTTCATCATAAGGTACCAATTAAGGGCGTTGTAGGGGCGCTTAATACCTTCCCATCACGTAACTGACCCCCGAACCCAATTCTGGTTATCAAGACCATTATTGGATTTTTAGAAAAAAACCTTTTCTTTTGCTAATGTTTTGAGTAAAACATTGGTGGCGACTCCATGAACCTATTTTCAAAACCATTAATTAAGGATTAGTCTGGTGTCCGGGCATTCCTTAATTGATGAGATCTTTAAAAGGATGTCTAAATCATAAGTCGCAAGAACAGAAATTTTCGAGTTGTGATAGATGACGACTCCGTTGGGGACGTTTAAAGAGGGTCAGGCCCATATAATTGATGAAGTTAATAAAATAAGAATAATAATTTAAATATTTTTCCCCTTTACTTTGTTTGTTTTATTTGTTTGGCTTTAATATCTATTTGCCTGTTTGAATTCTGCACTTGTTTGAATACAAATTGTACACAAACTTTTGCACACAATAGTTCCCCCTACACCCGAGGGCATGAGGGTATTAAACATAAGGAGTGGTTGACATACGACCGGCCCAAGTTTGGCCTTGGAGCCTGCGAGCCTTGTCAAAAATCACACTCAAGGTGATAACCAATTACTCTAACCCGAAATATTGCGATAGACCTTAGAGTTTTCCAGGTGACGGTGACAGAGATATTGGGTCCCTATAATAGGGGCAGCTTGGGGGCCTTAAGACCAGTGAGATTAGAACTGTCCTAAACAATGCACTTTTCGTACAGGGACCACAAACCAAGGATTTGAACTGTTTGTGGGTGTACGTTGATTGAACATGTGTGTGTGCATTTGTTTGTATTATTTTGTTCTAATAAGATGGATTGGAATTTTAAAATAAGCAAATCGATAATAAAGAAATAAAAAATAATAAAAAAATTTATACCCCTTTGTACATTCTTAGGTCACCATTCCATTAACATCATATAAGTAGTTTCCTTTTTTTAAAAAAAATGAATAAAAGAAATCTCATCTTTGCCATGCATCATTTCCCTTTAGATAACAGAAACATGATAAAGATTAGGAAAAAAAAAATTTGATACACATTCTAGATTAGCTCATTAATTTCACGCATTTTATTTTATTAGCTAAGGAGGATTAGGTTGCAGTACGTTTAGAAAGTTAAGAAAAGTGAATGCTTTAATATACGACAGTATCTGCGCTTTAAAGAAAAACATAAATCAGTGTATAGATTCTATGGTTGGGCCCTTGCTTTGATATGTTTGTTGAAGTAAGTCTTCTTAGAATCTAATATAGATTCCCACTTAATGCTATCAAAATCTATTTAAGCATTCACAGATAAACAAATCAATGAGATTGATATTTATCATTCTCAACTTTCTCTACATTCTACATTACATTCAGTTAGAACATATCCTTCTTTGTAAAAGAATAAAAAAGAAAAAAAGGGAACATGCATATCATATATTCAGGATCACAAGGGGATTTGTATCAAAGACAAGAAATCAGTGTAACCTCTGTCACATCATAAAATATTATGAAGAGGAACACCGATAACTCACCTCGCAGCAAGGATGAGCCATCAAATCTTTGTTAGGAATTCCCTTTCATGCATCTACATCCAAATAGTTTAATAGAAAACTATTCATTGTCACTCGAAGGTGCCTCCTAAACACTCCATACTCACAAAGCTCAAGGGGGAAGAGTCATGGAAGCTCTACAAGAAGGAAGACGTTTACTTTTTATGGAGTTCATACAGCTCAAACAACAAATGACTAAGATGATCGATGCCATGACAAAAATGCAACACGACATCGACCATACTAGAGGATGTTTGAATACTCTAGAAGAAAGGTTGAGAGCTGTCGAAACACACAATTTTGACGGTAAAGAAGCTGCTGAAACCACAAAACCCCCACGGTCCGAGGATATTCAATCAAAATGGATCTACGGGAGAAAAAGAAAGGATGCTACCACCCTCACCATCTTTCCTCGAAAGCTTAAAATAGTCTCAAAAGTATAAAGGACTTTTCACGGAATTCCTATGAGCTATGCAGACTTGTTTCCTCAACTGTTGGAGGCCTCAATGTTGGTAAAAGCCCCACTGCAAAGAAAACAACAGCTGCCTTACCCCTTATGGTATAGGCTCGAGGAAACTTGCATGATAAGGGCATTCTATTGAAAATTACAAGGCCTTGAAGCTTCACGTACAAAAGCTTATCGACACTAGGCGGCTCAAGTTTGAGGCCAACACACTAGACATCAACGAATGACCATGATAAGTAGTAATCTGGGAATGGTCTGTTGAAAAGCTGTTGAGGGTTCTCTCTTCAAAAAAAAATTACTTCAAGTTCATGCTCAACTCATGACCGTCACCCATGATCATGAGTTCAAAATAAGGGCTTGTTTTTTTTACATTCATCAATAACATACGTCATTTCCATAAAACCCTTGCGTCTATTCTTTTCTCTCTTATGTCACAGATTAAATTCCAAAATCAATCACCATGAAAAAAAAAATACGACTGAAGATAATAAAATTAATCAGAACTCCAAACATCTACGATGCATTGTCTGAGTTTGAGGCAGAAAAGGAGATAACTTCATTAAAACACACAAAGATGAGGAAGTGATGAAATGCATAACCATAAGATTATCATCGCATAAGGGGATTCTTACACAAAAAATAATAATAAGTTCAACTCATTTTTGGCTGACAAAGGAAGCACAAATCTTGGTGCATGAAAGGACTCTCGACACCCATAGGCCGGGGCAGCATCTTTCTCCTTGGTGTATGGGACGGGGGTAGAAGGCACTGGTCTTCCCAAATATGGATGACAAGAAGTTTTGTCAAAGCAAAGAAGTATTATGCCTGAAAAACATCACTTGCAAAATACCACTAGGATGAAAACCTGCAAAGGGCGTCCTCAACAAAAAAAAAATCAAAAGTTCCTGCTAGGACACATCGTAGGCAAAAATTAGGGATCTAAAAAGAAAAAAATAGCAAGTGACGACTCTCCAAGCTGGAATCCAAAAGGTAGCTTAAATACTTCTATAAGAGGGTGAAATACAAAGACTTTGCCCAAGACTCAGACATGTAGTCCAAGATAATTAGGAGAATGATTATAATAATTATCCAAGGAAATGTTTGTTTAAAAAAAAAACTTAAAGATTGACCTACCTCAACCACCCATTCTAAATCATCCTTTCTTGTCTTTTCTGTCTTGTTCAATCATAATGACATATATTATTGATGGTTGTCAAAATTGAACATGTCAACAAGAAAATAAAAATGACCCGCTGGGGTGCAAAACTCGTAAAGGGCATCCTAGGCAAAAATTAGGGCAAATAAAACGAGCAAAAATACCCGCTAGGATACATCCTAGGAAAAAGTTATGGTTTTTGAACAAAAAAAGAAAAAAGAAAAAGAGAGAACCCAAGGCAATTTGATACCAAGTGGTCAATACAACTAAAGTTAGGCATCAATCAGAGCAGTTTATTTGTGAGAAGGAGAAAAGGAAA